AAACTTACTAATTCATAAATTTCTAGGTCGTCCATGTTCTCCCACCCAAAGACGATTCATCCAACAGCACGACTCCATCTTACTGTAGCCAAGAACCATACCAGCACATTCCTGGATGTTGTGCTGAGAATTGTCACTATGTGCTAAGAGAAGAAGATCCCTATGTACCCGATTATCCTTTCATGGAAGAGCGGCGCTATCTAACATCCAAGCATTTGGACGATACGGCGCAACGTCGGATTTCTCAATGGCGCCATCGAATTGCCGCCATGCGAGCGCCATTGGCGCAATTCGATAAGGAGACCAATATTATGGGAATTGTACATACTGCTGTATAACAATTGAACATTATATAATGTGAACTTATTCACTTGGTTGAGCTCATATCGGAAATGATGCCAGTTTCCTCAAATGACCCATGAAACGCTGCGCATGCCTCAGAAGGTGGGCTGCATAGCAGTCTTGCCTGCATGACGACCTGACCGATCAGATATCAAAGGCAAATTTCCAGCTTGATATAAATCTCATTATTCTCCCATAAATTGATGTGTGTGCCTTTAATGTCTTCTATAATTGTAATTTTATTACACTTTCTTGCTCCATTCCCTGGATAATAAATACTACAAAAGCAACACTTCAAAACTAAACATACAAAGCTTTGATATACAAAAAAATGACTAGTGAACATGTATCTTATAGCTGCACTCTTCAATATATCACAATAGAGGAAGTTTGACAAGGAGGAAAGCATAAATAAAACCCTTTCGTTACAGCTGACATTGCTATCAGTTCCAAAAAATAAGAACTTCCGTAAAACATCAATATTAAGCAAACATTCCTTAAAGAATCTCACAGTTTTAAAGACAACGAAATCGAAACAAGGCAACCAATCCCAAGCAATTGGGCAGAAAGAAATTACAAATGGATGGATATTACCTCTTCCATGGCACATGGAATGTTTAGCATTAGATCACATAGCTGTAATACGAGTCACGTCTACTGAGCTTATGATGTATTCGCTTCTTTGGAAGATGAGGGAGCCGCTGTGGACGAGGCTGCAAGGATCAGTTGCGCCAACTCTGCTTGACCACTACTTGACAGTAACTCCACAATTTGTGGCCATTCACTCTTACTTGCTTGAGCGTACATAAATTGCGTCTAAAAAAGATGCTAAATAGAAGTGAAAGATGAGTAATGAGTATCCAGTGCATTTTGGTATTTTGGTTAAGAACTCGGATTTTATAGTCTTTTCGTTGATAAATTAGAACCACAACTAGAACGATGGCGGTGCATCCGCCAACGCTTACAGAGCACATCAAATCACAAATTGCAGATGACTTCCGCAACTATACGACTGCGATGCAACGTGTGCAGCAAATGTCTTATTCTTTAATCGACTACAACAGTAGTAATCATTATTAATGAGTTTGAACAAGGTTGAGAAGAATCTTCGGGAAGAATAAGCAAAAACAACAACCAAAAGAAATGGTAGTAAATATTAACTCACTTTCTCATCAAATGACAGGTGAGCAATCCATTTGTTGAGCACATCTTCTGGGTCTTCCAATCCCATCTGGAACATGTTTACTTTTGAAAGAAAAAAAAAACGAAATTGCGACGTGTGCTATATACCTTAGCATATACAATACTCTTATCCCATTGACGCTGTGATTGCAGGTATTTACAGGCATCACCACCAGCTTTCACTAGGAAAAGCAGTTCCACTCCATCTGTAAAGAGTATATTAGTAAAGAGACCTCTGTTATCAAATGCATCATCAACAAAATGTAAACATGGCATCTATAACTTTTTTTTTCAAAATAACGTAAACCAACCCTCAATCATGTCCGAAGCGATGAGGTTTGTGGCAATCAATTT